GCCTTATGTAATGCATTGGCGGTTTGGTAATTTTTGAATTATTAATGTGCATATACACACCCGACTAAACTGATTTTTTCATAATATCGACGCCAACTAAATACACATTTAATATATTGTTAGTCCGTAATATATTTTTCAAACCGTATTAATACATAATTAAATTTTCCTCGTTCAGTTTTTTTTTTTAAATGTTCAAATCGATTATTTCAGTTTTGACTTTTCGATTGGTCGGCATAATTGAACCAATCGATATAAAATAATTTTATTATTTAGGGCAATTCGGTTAATAGGTTGAATAAAAAAATTATTTCAGTTATGTTTTAGTCTAATTTGGGACATATCATTAAAAAATGTTTCCGCTGCAGGTGCACAATAATATTATACAAATTGCACAATAATGACTATCAAACTGCACAATATCAATTGAGATTGACCGAAATATCTAGAAAATTTTATTTTGTTATAATTTTATATAAATATATTACTTACTTTTACCCAAATATAATATAAAATATTAAATGAATGTATTAAAATACTAAACGAGTTAATTTATTTTAGTTAATTAGTTAATACAGTTTGGTTTTAAATTGATTTGTTATATTTTTTTCCGAAGTTTGATGAGTTATTCAGTTTTGACACTTCGGTTGGTCAGACAACCGAACCAACCGAAGAAAAATACTAAGCGAGGTGGTGACGATTATGGACCTTCGTAAAAATATGACCGAGTTTTTAATGTGCATTCCATCACGCAATATTGTGCATTTTACTGTGCAATATTGTGCAAAATTACACAAAAATTTAAAATGCAAATATATTAAAACTTCTAAAATTACATATAAGGCCCAAAAATTATCAAATTTTAAAAACAAAACCCCCCAAATAAATCTCCTTCCTCGTTGTGACTGCGAAAAAAAAAAAAACAAAAAGAACCAAACAAAAAAAAACACTTCCTCGTCAATTATTTTATTTCTGCCGAAACCAACCCCCGCGGTTTGAATCTTCAATTGCATCGCTTTTGATCTCTCTCCCAAACCTTCTCTCATTCAATCCAGACTACCTAAAAATCTATTTCAGGGACTCCTCATCAGTTAGCTGCCAAAATCACGACGA